GTTTGGTGTTCGGCTGAGTTCTTTATCTCTTCATTTGATGTTCTAGGGTTTCAGGATTGTTGATTCTCTGTTTGGCTTAGTTTTTCGGATCTTTGCTGTGGAGGGACGGCGTGGTGCTTCTGCCTAGAGTGCCATCTTGCCGGACTCTCTCTTTTCACTTTCTTGATAGTGTTCTTTGCAGCAAAAAATTTTTAATTTTGATAAAGTCCAGTTTATGTTTTTCTTTTGTCACTTATGCTTCTGGTGTTGTATCTGAGAGACAGTTGCCGAATACAAGGTTGTGGAAGTTTTCTCCTGTGTATTCTTCTTAGAGATACACAGTTTCAACTCTTACATTTAGGTCTTTGATCCATTTTGAGTTTGTTTTTGTGTATGGTGTGAGGTAGGGGTCTGGTGGCTCGAACCCACCCAGAGGTGCCTTGGAAGATAGGCCTGGTGATCTGCTTCTGAATGGTCCCAACCTGGAAGACCCCATGGAGCAGTTCTACTCTGCACACATGGGGTTGCCATGAGTTGGAATCGACTTGACAGCAGTTAGCTTGGCTTTTTTTGGTTTAGGAGTCCAAGTTCATTCTCTTGTGTGTCCCAGTTGTCCCAGCTCTATTTGTTGAAAAGATTAATCTTTCCCCACTGAATGGACTTGGCACCCTCATCAAAATCAGTTGCTCATAAATATAACCATTGTTGTTGTTGGGTGTCAAGTGGATTTTCAACGCATAGCGACCCTGTGTGATAGAGTAGCTGTAATCTTTACAGGAGCAGATCACCAGGTCTTTCTCCCACAGAGCTGCTAGTGGGCTGGAACTGCTAACCTTTGTGTAGCTATGTTTAAACGTTGTGCCACCAGAGCAAACCAAACACGTTGCTGTCAAGTTGATTCCAACTCATCGCGACTGTGTAGGTCAGAGTAGAACTGCCCCATAGGGTTTCCAAGGAGCGGCTGGTGGATTCAAACTGCCAACCTTTTGGTTAGCAGCTATAGCTCTTAACCACTGTGGTACCAGAACTCCTTAAGTATAACCGACCCATTGTTTATATGAAAAAACTTAGATCCCTTAGCTTTGCATTGAAGACTTTCCACAGTTCGATTTTCCCACACCCGCTCTTCACTCCCATTCTTCTTACAGCCCAAAGTCCTGAACCAGGAGCAGATCTAGACTTTCCTGGGGCCCCGAGGCTCATATAAATGAGGGGCTCTTTAAGAAAAAGAACATGAAAATACCTTGCTTTGTCAAATGTTGACAGCATTTGTTTGTCAAGTTTTCTGGGGACCTGACCCCGTACACACGTCACTGGGCCCCTCTGCAGCCTCGGGAGGAGCAGGGCACGCCACCTTCCTTCCCGGCACACCTGCCTCCGCCCGGGACGCCCCTGGCCTTTGCTGTGGACATTGCGCCCCTCTCTCCATCCCTCTCTCCTGACGCCGTCCCTTCTGAGTTCACCCCTCATCTGTCCAGCAGCTGTACCAGGTGCCTGCGCCGTGCCATGCCGTGCCATGCCGTGCCACGCCGTGCCCAGGGGAGCAGGACGGAACCCCGGCCGTGGGCGTTGGGTGTGGGGTGGCACCGGCACAGGCGAGGCCTCCCGAGAGCAGTGCCAAGTGAACCCGCGCCGTGTTCCTGTAACGCTCCCGGCCCCTGCCCACGGTCCCTGGGTTACCCTCCACACGGGCCCTTCCAGGGATGGGGCGGGGGTCGAGGCGTTAGGGCGTGGGCTGCCGAGCCTGGGCTCCCGGCTTAGCACTGCCACCTGGAAGCTGTGTGTTTCTGAGCCTCGGTTTCTCCATTTGTCGCTGGGCCGCTGGAAGGATGGAAGGGGTGGTGCCAACACTTTGCTCAGGGCTTGGCAC